CTGCACGTTGTCCGGAAACTTCACGCCCATTACCATTACAGGCAATAGTTACATGTGCGCCGGTGGAATGTAAATAATGGTGTCAATATTGCCGTATCAATTTGAGGGAGAATCAGACCCAGATAGCAGTAATGAAGAGGATCAAGCAGAAACTCTGCAAGCACGGCTCTTAAAAGACATTTCTGAATGGTAAGTAAGGGTGTTTTTTTTTGCCTTTGTGTGAATACGGCATTGAACTCGTGTAGATTCTGGAAGCTGTCTTCTGTAAAATGTGCAGCACAGACAGCTACATTAGGATTGTAATTGTCAGGAATAAATTGTAACCATTGTTCACGAAGTACAGTGTCCGTGGGAAGGCCGAACACAGAAGACCTGTTAGAGGGGTGAAAATAACACCCTTTCGATGGCATGGCTACAACTCTTCCTCTTCTCTAAAGCGGTGCAACATGGCCCCGCCCCCTTTGTTGCATGTTCCCTGAGGCGGGGTTTATGTAAATTTCTGGGTTTGTGACGTAACAAACCCGGGAAGTAGCTCGTTGTAGTCCCTATATACGAGCTGTTTTTGTAGGCATTAAACTGTCAGAATTTAAAAGACGATATCTCCGTTTGCATAGAACTTTCAGCGCCGTAACTTTGCAGATATTGTTTATGCTCAAACAGCAACATTACACACTAACTAACGTTAAAAAAGTGAAATCGCAATCAGCCACCCCTTTAATAAACACACTTCTGTGTTAAGTGGGGTTTAAAGGGAAAGAAAATACTCCAGCATCCTTTAGACATAAGTCAGTCCTTTTGCTTTCAAACTGAAAATGAAATCCTTTAATGGTCAGAGAGAGTTCCCAGAGCAGAGTGAAATTAATGGGCCTGAGGACAAGCGGAGCTGGGGACCAGACACTTCATCCTTACCATGACCCACTTTCAGCTGGAAGCAGGGCCGAATCACCCAGAGATAAATGCTGGACACTGTCCCCTCTTCAAAATAAAGCTTCCAGTCTGAAGTGAAAGAGTTTTATAGTCTGATGTCATAGGAGAATAGTCTCCTGTGTAGTTCTTTGGAAAATGATCTATACTCCCACTTCAAAAAATCCAATACAGTGATCTGAAAAATCTATATGTAAAACCAATATCAATCAATCAATCAATCAATCAATCTTTATTACAGACTCAAGGTCCAAATAAAAATAAATAAATAAATAAATAAAATAGCCTATTGACTCTCACAAAAAAAAACAAAAAAAAAAACACATTTAACCAAATCAAGAAGCCTTGGTATCTCAGAATATTTGACTAGGGAATCCATCGGGATTTGAAGAGATTGTATAAAATCAGTGTTTACTTTTTAACTTATTTATTTATTTTTAGCAAAACGGCGAGGCACAAGGTCAAGTTCACTCTCCATTGCCTCAATAGTAACTTTTTTTTTTATTCCAAATCTTTTTCCTATTATTTACAGTCAGAGGCGGACAAAGTACTCAACTCCATTACTTGAGTGAAAGTACAGATACTGCTGGTCAAATATTACTCCATTACAAGTAAAAGTTGTAAAGACAGATATTTCCTTAAGTAAAAGTACAGAAGTACTTGCTTTTAAAAGTACTTAAGTACCACAAGTAAATTTCCTTTTTTTTATGTCAATGCAATTATGTTTTATTGTTGTATGTAATACTTGCAATACTTAATAGTATACTTAATTTAACTGTATATAAAAATACACCTTGCTACGTGTACTTAAGTAAAAGTACAGAAGTACTTTCTTTTAAAAGTACTTAAGTACCACAAGTAAATTTCCTTTTTTTTATGTCAATGCAATTATGTTTTATTGTTGTATGTAATACTTGCAATACTTCTGAAGCAACTTAGAATACATTACACCTACACTGACTAGCTTGTAGTATCTTTGGAATAAAGAGCTTTTAGAATGTTAACAACCCTATGGGGAAAAAACATAAATAAATAAATATTTAATTAACACCCCTACCCCCACAAAAGCAGGATGGCAGTGATCTCACACAGCTCTGACAGTGTGTGCACACATCTGTACAATACTCAAGTAAATGTACTTAGGCTAGTTACTGTCCGCCTCTGTTTACAGTATATACTGAGAGAGTAAACCTCATAAATGGACTTCTCTCCCAGATGCCAGCCTATTGAGTTTGTAACTTAAATAAAAGAAATCAAACAAAATAAGGCTTCTAGAGATATTTATTTATTTCACAAAAAAAAGGGACAGTGTACATTAATCAACATGTGCGAATGTAAATGTACCCAAATTAGCCCAAAGGCTAGTTTTCATTGGTAGTCCCTTTGCCAGAGGGTATTAGGCCAGAGAAACTAGAGGAAAAAAAGAAACAAAATACAAAAAAACAATAACAACGAAATTCAACCAAAAATTAAACAACAAATTATACAAACTGACAATAAAAAATAAAGAAATATGTATTAAAATTTTTTAAATAGAAAGCAGCTTATTAAGATATATAAACAACATTAATGTTCACATTGTTGGTTATGAAGAAGCCATTTCTTAAAATGATGCTTAAATGAGTTAAATGATGTACATTCTCTAATTGATTGTGGTATTGAATTCCACTGGTGTGATGCTCTGAAAGAAAAAACAGCTTGACCAAACAAGGTGTTTCTATGTGGAATTATGCAATCAGCTTAAGCTGCACCTCTAGTTACTCTGTTTTCAATATATTTAAATTTAATAAAGTCAACCAGAGGAGGAGGAGCTAAACCATGCCTATTATTATAAACTAAACAAACATTTTTAAACTTAGTGATGTTTTCCCAGCTAAGTAGGTTATACCTATTTAAGATATGACAATGGTTAAAACTATTTTTTTTTTACCTAAAATGTTAAGTGCTTGTTTGTACAATAATTCCAATGGTTTTAGAACTATAGCATGTGTATTAGACCAACTTGTCAGACAATAAGTAATATGAGAAAGAATCATAGAATGAAAATATACCTTTGCAGCCTCATTTGATAAAGGGTTTCTAATAAACCAAAAATTAACTAAATATATTTTACCTTTTTACATACCTTTTTTATATGCGTTTTAAAACCAAGACATGAGTCCAAATGAACCCCTAAGTATTTATATTCCAAAACAACCTGTAATCTCTCTCCAGAAAATAAAATATTCTGTTTTATATCAACACTATGTCCTTAAGAAAAGAACATACAAGCTGTTTTTGACACGTTTATTTTCAGATAACACTGATTGAGCCAGGATATGATTTTTGCCAGAACATCTGTCAACTTATTTGCAACCTCTTCTGCATTGTTACCATGCGTGAAAATTACTGTATCGTCAGCATACATTATGATATCACATTGTTGACACACCATGGGTAAATCATTAATATACAGTGGGTACGGAAAGTATTCAGACACCCTTAAATTTTTCACTCTTTGTTATATTGCAGCCATTTGCTAAAATCATTTAAGTTAAATTTTTTTCCTCATTAATGTACACACAGCACCCCATATTGACAGAAAAACACAGAATTGTTGACATCTTTGCAGATTTATTAAAAAAGAAAAACGGAAATATCACATGGTCCTAAGTATTCACCCCCTTTGCTGTGACACTACTTAAATGATTTTAGCAAATGGCTGCAATATAACAAAGAGTGAAAAATTTAAGGGGGTCTGAATACTTTCCGTACCCACTGTACATGCTAAAGAGAATTGGCCCCAATATGGAGCCTTGTGGAACATCAGTTGAAAGGCATAGTGAATTGGATTTATAATAATAAATTTTTACTACCAGAGAACAGGAAGAGAGATAAGATTCAATTAAATTTACAGATTTTGTCGAAAAAATAAAATTGAGTAATTTATGTAAAAGAATATTATGATTTACAGTATCAAACACTTTCTGTAAATCAAGAAATACAGCCCCTACCACTCCACCTTTATCCATTAATGCCTTTACCTTTTCAATAAAATAACAAGTAGCCGTTTCTGTTGAATGATTTATCCTAAAGCCGAACTGCATCGGATGTAATTGAAAAGGACTATTATTAAAATGGTCAATAATTTGTTTAGCCACCAGTTTATTTTATTTTACAGTTTTCAAATACAGTTTGTTTACCGTGCATTTTCTAGTGACCACCAACACCTGTGATCACTAATTAACCTGATTAACCTGACAATTCAGCTCATTAATTGATTGAGATAAGAGAGTCAAAGTCAACGAATACACGTATTGTTTTAATTTACTCAAATAGCCTTTCTTAAAAAATGTGAACTTAAATTAACAATAACACTGCACAGATTCATTTGTTAGGTGGTCTGAGGCAAAAGTTGTTGTATTTATTAATTTATTAAATCAAGGGCTGAATATTTCTGGATCATCAAGTTTACTTAAAACATTTGTGGACATATCTTGCACTATAATAAAATTCTCTATAAAATAACCTTAAGATTGCAGCCCTGTCTTAATATTTTTCATGAGTCTTTCCTTTTTCTCTTCTTTTAGGACAGCTCTGGAGAAAATGGGGTTGCTGGGAAACTTAAAAATGAAATGAATGAAGTTGTTCTGTACATTCCTTTTGTAATTTAAGTTATTTGTAAATGAAGCAAAGTAATTTCTTTACATTGTTTTATTTTTGTATTATACGTTGAAACTTATAAATAAAAGACAAGTAGTAGTTCTGGAAATTGATTATTTTTTTTGTAAAGAAAGTTATAATTTGTAAATGACAGAAATTATTCCATACATTTTTTGCCTCTAAATAACATTTGTAATTGAAAAGAAATTGTTCTATACTAAAAGTACTTTTTTCAACTTTTTATTACAAAATAACTTAAATTCAACATCAGAAAAACAACATAAAAATGTAATTATGGGGGTGGGAATGGTGGCATGTACGCTTTCATTCAGTTGAGCAGGGAGACCCTGGTGGTGATTCTGGACCTGGACGGGCTGCCACAATAGAGAGCCTGGTATGGCCTCTGCCAGTGGGGCATCATCTGGTCTCCAGAGTGTTTGAGTGCATATTTCCACTGTCCAGCACTGGGACGCTCAGGTTTATCCTGCAGTACAGGGGTCTAGTCTGAACCACCCGCACTCTTAGACAAGAGTGTCGAAAAGCAGAGCGAAAGTGGAAAAAAAGATTAGCAACATGTTTCCTTTGATATCTTAAAGTTAAGTCTGTTTAATTATCAAACAGCAGTAAAACATGCAAAATCTAGTTATTTATCTCAGTTAATTGTTGATAATGTGAATAGACCAAAAGCTTTGTTTGATATGATTGATTCTCTTTTAAACACAACTACACTCTAAAAACTGCTGGGTTAAAAACAAGCTGAAAAAACCTCAGCTTGACCCAGTAATGTGCTGTAACTATCGGCCAATCTAAGTTGCCTTTTATCAGCAAGCTTTTGGATAAAGTAGTGTTTTCACAACTTCAGTCTTTCTTGGATTCTTTTAGTCTTTTAGATATGTTTCAATCTGGTTTTAGATCATTACACAGTACTGAGTCAGCTCTATTGAGTGTTACAAATGACATGCTGCTTTCTCTGGATTCAGGTGCTTGTATTGTGCTGGTATTGTTGGACCTGAGCACGGCATTTGACACCATTGACCATAACATTCTTCTTGATCGACTTGAATGTATGGTAGGTATTGGAGGCACTGCATTAAAGTGGTTTGCCTCGTATTTCGAGAACATGACTTTTTCTGTAAATTTAGGAAATTTTTCCTCATCCTCTGCACCTGTCTTGTGTGGAGTGCCCCAGGGATCCATTTTGGGACCTTTACTGTTTTCCCTTTATATGCTTCCCTTGGCCCACATTTTTAAAAAATACAGTATCTCATATCATTGTTACGCGGATGATTCTCAGTTTTATCTACCTGTAAGGCTTTGTTTGATATGATTGATTCTCTTTTAAACACAAATACACTCTAAAAACTGCTGGGTTAAAAACAAGCTAAAAAAACCTCAGCTTGACCCAGTAATGTGCTGTAACTATCGGCCAATCTAAGTTGCCTTTTATCAGCAAGCTTTTGGATAAAGTAGTGTTTTCACAACTTCAGTCTTTCTTGGATTCTTTTAGTGTTTTAGATAAGTTTCAATCTGGTTTTAGATCATTACACAGTACTGAGTCAGCTCTATTGAGTGTTACAAATGACATGCTGCTTTCTCTGGATTCAGGTGCTTGTATTGTGCTGGTATTGTTGGACCTGAGCACGGCATTTGACACCATTGACCGTCACATTGTTCTTGATCGACTTGAATGTATGGTAGGTATTGGAGGCACTGCATTAAAGTGGTTTACCTCGTATTTCGAGAACATGACTTTTTCTGTAAATTTAGGAAATCTTTCCTCATCCTCTGCACCTGTCTTGTGTGGAGTGCCCCAGGGATCCATTTTGGGACCTTTACTGTTTTCCCTTTATATGCTTCCCTTGGCCCACATTTAAAAAAAATACAGTATCTCATATCATTGTTACACGGATGATTCTCAGTTTTATCTACCTGTAAGGCTTGATACTGCTATTTCATTTGATTTATTAAATGAGGATAAAACTGAGGTTTCAATATTAGGTTGTCCTGCACACTCGTCTCCTGCTTTGGAAGCTCAGTTAGGTCCACTTTCAACTAATGTACGCAAACAAATCAAAAACCTTGGAGTGATTTTTGACTCTTCTCTATTTTTGATAAACAAATAAGTGCTGTTATTAGAGCAAGTTTTTTTTTTCCATTTCAGATCTCTTGCAACGTTGAAGCATCTTCTTTCAATGAAGGATATGGAATTTGTGATTCATGCACTTGTTACATCTCGATTGGATTATTGTAACTCTCTTTATTCTGGTCTTCCTCAATCTTCAGTGTCACGATTGCAAGCTGTTCAAAATGCTGCGGCAAGATTTTTGACTGGGTCTAAAAAGGGGGATCACATTTCCTCTGTTTTATCATCCCTTCATTGGCTCTCCGTTAAATTCAGGGTTGATTTTAAAATTCTTCTGTTCGTTTATAAGGCATTGTCTGGTTGTGCACCAAGTTATACTCTGGTCTTCCTCAATCTTCATTGTCACGATTGCAAGCTGTTCAAAATGCTGCGGCAAGATTTTTGACTGGGTCTAAAAAGGGGGATCACATTTCCTCTGTTTTATCATCCCTTCATTGGCTCTCCGTTAAATTCAGGGTTGATTTTAAAATTATTCTGTTTGTTTATAAGTCATTGTCTGGTTGTGCACCAAGTTATATCTCTGAACTTATTGTGCCATATTGTCCTGCTTAGGGCACTTAGATCTTTGAGTCACTTGCTTCTAACTGTGCCACGGTGTCGGTACAAATCAAAGGGTGAACACTGGGAACAAGTGGAGGGAAATGGGTACAATCCATGGAATAAGATAAAAAATATATTGTTGTGCTTTTTGATGTCAGAATCGGAATGGAAATCATTTGTATATAATATTGTTCTCAAAGATGTTATTTGAAGCTGAACGCAGACGTTTAAACGGACAGAATATGGATGAAACAATAATGAACAATGATTTAAACAATAGGTCTATATAATATTCACATAGGGGACATATTGTATTAGCCCCTACAGTTAAAGCATGAAATATTATTTAAACCTAACATTTTACCTAACATTTAACTATTTTATATCACAATTCTGACTTTTTTCCTTGCAAGTGCAAGTTTATATCTCCTAGTTCGGACTTTATAATTTGATTCAACTCAACAATTACGAGTTTGTCAATTCTGAGGAAAAAATGTCAAGAAGTGTGGGATTATAAACTCATGATTCTGAACCGAGGGGAAAAGAGAGAATGACGAGTTGATTTTTCTTACCAGAATTGTGAGATAGAATCTCGATATTGCAAGAAAAAAGTAAGAATTTTGAAATACAAACTCAAAATGACCTTTTTTATTCTTTTATTCCATGGCTTGCACAGACTGCTACGTTAAAACTGGAATTTTCTGCCACCAGATAGACTCCGCCCACAAAAAAACGTAATCACTGTTTGCAAACACTGAAATTGGTCTATATATATGACGGTCTTGCATTAATCCTGCTGCACTACTGTGTATGTTGCATTTTACTTCTGAGTTCAAGGTTGTTACATTTAAAATGTTTTACTGTTGGGCAGTTTAATGCTGTCCTATGAGGAAAATAAAGAAGAAGAAAAAACTCAGTAGCTACTTCTCATTTGTATGTGAATACTTAAGGAATGTACTTCGTTACACTCCACCACTTTGCTATTTTGCAAATTAAACGAACAAAGTTTATTGCTAGAATATTAACAAACAGTCGCTAACTAGAGCTGCGTCCGATATCAAAGGCTGCTTCCGAAGGACTCGGACCGGTCTAGCCTACAGAGGACTGTTCGTGTTGCCTAGCAACTGTGACAGCTACCGTTGACGAGCGTCAGTAACGTTTGTAAGTGGACTTTTTATGTTCAGCTGCATAAAACTAAACAGGGTTGAAACTGTTTAAATATGTTCACCATGGTCCATTTATGTACATAATAATGAATAATAGAATAAACTACATAAAATCGCATTTTGGTAAGATATAAGTCAACATTTAACCGCTTTATATATATATATATATATATATATTATTTTTTTTTTTTTCATATCATTACAATATTCAAGTAAGTCGAAATCCAATACTTACATTTCAAGTGTAATTCGGTAATTAAAAGTTAAAAAAAACTAACAGTTCAGGCTCCATTTATTTCCATTTGTATTAACAAATAACATCTATGGCAGCTCTCTTCTCCATTCACCATTTTTCATTATTTCAAAGATTTTTTTGCACTTATTAGAGTGGTTTTATCTGACAAAAAGTTGCACATACTGTAAATGAACTGCGCCTGACACAGAGCCATATAACTCATGTACATGCACTTCAGGCGCTTCAGGAGACCAATCCAAACTTGGACAAAATCACAACCTACTCGTCCTCTTGCTCCAAAGATCAAAAGACTTGTGGCTTCATTAGATCTCTGCTTTTGAAGCATAAAGAATGTTTTTCTGCCTATAAATGCAAACAATTCCAGAAAAGGGAGCTGAGAGAATATAAACATAATTTATGTGTCTGACCATTATGTGTGCTGTTTTTTGTTTGAAGGCAACGGGTTTTATTTCTGAGGCAGTAGTGGGAAAGGGTCAGTGCTCTGAACTCTTCCCTGACAACCTGTCATCACTACTCATTCTCTCTCCTACAATATCTACCTCCATCCCTCATGTGCTCTTCTCTCCAATATATCACTCTCTCCTCTGACTCTTACACTCTTATGGCTCAAGCGGTCACCTTCACATATGTGCTGTGGTGGAAAGAGTACTGAACAAATTTGCTCAAGTTAAAGTACCATTACATTCCAAAAAAATGTAGTGTGAGTAGAGTAAAAAGTATTTGTCCAAAAAACTACTTGAGTAAGAGTAAAACATTTGCTAATTTAAAAGTACTCATGAGTAGTGAGTACTGAGCTGCAGATTCTACCCCCTGCTGTACACTGCAATTTAAACATTTAGAAAACACTGTACATACTGTAATTCACTTTTTTTTTTTTTTGTCAGAAAGAATGAAGAATATCTATCATCCAGCAGTTTTAATTTTGACTGCCAACGCTGAAAAACTTTTATGATGAAAAGTGATGGAAAGATGAAACAGTTACACTCATCACCATTTGAATCATAATGTTTGGAAAAAAATATATACACTAATAATAAATTCAAGTGTAAGACCACTGAGTAAGAGCATGCTATTGTTGCGCATAAAATATTAATGTTTAGAACAATGCAAAGAATACAAAACCATTAGAAACTCATACAAGAATTTGTCACACACCATGATATGGGTCAAAATGAAAGTTTAAAAAGAGCCAATTTCTCTCCAAATTGGTGCCAGTTTTAGTGCTTTGTGATAAAGAAATGAGAATCATAAACAGTTTTTTTTTTGTTTTGTTTTTTTGTTACAATTTAAAAGTAAAAGCACATTGTTCTAGAAGGGCACAGCTACATTTAGTCAAATTGTTATGCTGATAATACAATTCGTAAGGAAAAAATTGCATTAAATAGGGAAGTATTTCCGT